TTGATTGGTTAAGCCCCTTTGAGGTCAGGGGACTTTGTAGAATAGACCTCCAGCCCATTAGGGGCTTGTCGACAGAGGGGTGTTGTTTAATGGTTAAACTTAGGCCCTGAATTTTCGGGAAGGCTTGACTTTGAGTTGGTGTGTGCTTAAAAAGTTGATGCTTTGCTGAAAATTCTTCCCTTTAGCTGTAAGGAGGAATGGGTTGGAAGATGGGCTAGTTTGATAGGGTCTCAATATGTGAGTAAGATGGGATTATGGTTTGGGAATTGTCTATTTAGCTCTTGGGGGTCATAATTTTCTGTTAGGAGGGTGTAGATATGGGGTTGGAATATGTAGAAGAGGGGGCATCCTTTTCTGTTGGGAGGGGTAGATTATAGAGGGGGGTAGTGTAGGTAGCCCCTTTGTATTGGTTAAACTTCTTTGTGTTTGATTGGTTAAGCCCCTTGGGTTGTCATCTCTTGTTATTAGTATAGGGTTGGATTGGTGTATTTGGGTTGTAGGGTGTTTGTTTAGTAATAGGAGGGTGGGGTTAGGAAGGGTTTGGGAATTGTCTATTTAGCTCTTGGGGGTCTTCATTTTCTGTTAGGAGAGGGTAGATTTTGGGTTGGAATATGTAGCATAGGGGGTCATCCTTTTCTGTTGGGAGGGCTAGATTATAGAGGTTGGTCGTGTAGGTAGCCCCTTTGTATTGGTTAAACTTCTTTGTGTTTGATTGGTTAAGCCCCTTGGGTTGTCATCTCTTGTTATTAGTATAGGGTTGGATTGGTCTATTTGGGTTGTAGGGTGTTTGTTTTGTATTAGGAGGGAGGGGTTAGGAAGGGTTTGGGAATTGTCTATTTAGCTCTTGGGGGTCTTCATTTTCTGTTAGGAAGGTAGAGTTTTGGGGTTGGAATATGTAGCATACGGGGTCATTGTTTTCTCTTGGGAGGGCTAGATTATATAGGGGGGTCGTGTAGGTAGCCCCTTTGCATTGGTTAAACTTCTTTGTGTTTGATTGGTTAAGCCCCTTGGGTTGTCATCTCTTGTTATTAGTATAGGGTTGGAGTTGGTTTATTTAGGTTGTAGGGTTTCTCGTTTTGTATAAGAGGGTGGGGATAGGAATGGTGGTCTTTTAAGTTAGTGACTCCCTTTGTATTTGATTGGTTAAGCCCCTTTGAGGTCAGGGGACTTTGTAGAATAGACCTCCAGCCCATTAGGGGCTTGTCGACAGAGGGGTGTTGTTTAATGGTTAAACTTAGGCCCTGAATTTTCGGGAAGGCTTGACTTTGAGTTGGTGTGTGCTTAAAAAGTTGAAGCTTTGCTGAAAATTCTTCCCTTTAGCTGTAAGGAGGAATGGGTTGGAAGATGGGCTAGTTTGATAGTGTCTTTATATGTGAGTAAGGTGGGATTATGGTTTGGGAATTGTCTATTTAGCTCTTGGGGGTCATAATTTTCTGCTAGGAGAGGGTAGATTTTGGGTTGGAATATGTAGCATAGGGGGCATCCTTTTCTGTTGGGAGGGCTAGATTATAGAGGTTGGTCGTGTAGGTAGCCCCTTTGTATTGGTTAAACTTCTTTGTGTTTGATTGGTTAAGCCCCTTGGGTTGTCATCTCTTGTTATTAGTATAGGGTTGGATTGGTGTATTTGGGTTGTAGGGTGTTTGTTTAGTAATAGGAGGGTGGGGTTAGGAAGGGTTTGGGAATTGTCTATTTAGCTCTTGGGGGTCTTCATTTTCTGTTAGGAAGGTAGAGTTTTGGGGTTGGAATATGTAGCATAGGGGGTCATCGTTTTCTGTTGGGAGGGCTAGATTATAGAGGGGGGTCGTGTAGGTAGCCCCTTTGTATTGGTTAAACTTCTTTGTGTTTGATTGGTTAAGCCCCTTGGGTTGTCATCTCTTGTTATTAGTATAGGGTTGGATTGGTCTATTTGGGTTGTAGGGTGTTTGTTTAGTATTAGGAGGGTGGGGTTAAGAAGGGTTTGGGAATTGTCTATTTAGCTCTTTGGGGTCTTCATTTTCTGTTAGGAAGGTAGAGTTTTGGGGTTGGAATATGTAGCATACGGGGTCATTGTTTTCTCTTGGGAGGGCTAGATTATATAGGGGGGTCGTGTAGGTAGCCCCTTTGTATTGGTTAAACTTCTTTGTGTTTGATTGGTTAAGCCCCTTGGGTTGTCATCTCTTGTTATTAGTATAGGGTTGGAGTTGGTGTATTTAGGTTGTAGGATTGTTGTTTTGTATTAGGAGGGTGGGGATAGGAAGGTGTTTTTTAAGGGAATTTTATTTAGCTCTTGGGGGGTCAGGGGACTTTGTAGAATAGACCTCCAGCCCATTAGGGGCTTGTCTGTTAGGAAGAGGGGTGTTGTTTAATGGTTAAACTTATTTAGCTCTTGGGGGTCTTCATTTTCTGTTAGGAGGGTAAAGTTTTAGGGTTAAGATATGTAGCATTGGGGGTTATCCTTTTCTGTTGGGAGGGGTAGATTATAGAGGGAGGTCGTGTAGGTAGCCCCTTTGTATTGGTTAAACTTCTTTGTGTTTGATTGGTTAAGCCCCTTGGGTTGTCATCTCTTGTTATTAGTATAGGGTTGGAGTTGGTGTATTTGGGTTGTAGGGTTTCTCGTTTTATAAAAGAGGATGGGGTTAGGAATAGTTTTGGAATTGTCTATTTAGCTCTTGGGGGTCTTCACTTTCTGTTAGGAGGGTAGAGTTTGGGGTGGGAATATGTAGCATAGGGGGTCATCCTTTTCTGTTGGGAGGGGTAGATTATAGAGGGAGGTTGTGTAGGTAGCCCCTTTGTATTGGTTAAACTTCTTTGTGTTTGATTGGTTAAGCCCCTTGGGTTGTCATCTCTTGTTATTAGTATAGGGTTGGAGTTGGTGTATTTGGGTTGTAGGGTGTTTGTTTTGTATTAGGAGGGTTTAGGAAGGGTTTGGGTTTTAAGTTTGAGGTCTTTGTCTTGACTTTGAGGGTGTGTGCTGTTTTTGTATTCTTTGTGTAAGGAGGAATGGGTTGGAGGTTAGGGGGGGTCTTGTTATTAGTATAGGGTTGGAGTTGGGAATGTATTGGTTTCTTTGTGTTTGATTGGTTAAGCCCCTTGGGTTCTCTATTTAGCTCTTGGGGGTCATTATTTTCTGTTAGAAGGGTGTAGTTTTGGGGTTGGAATATGTAGCATAGGGGGTCATCCTTTTCTGTTGGGAGGGGTAGATTATAGAGGGAGGTTGTGTAGGTAGCCCCTTTGTATTGGTTAAACTTCTTTGTGTTTGATTGGTTAAGCCCCTTGGGTTGTCATCTCTTGTTATTAGTATAGGGTTGGAGTTGGCGTATTTAGGTTGTAGGTTTCTGGTTTTGTATTACGCGGGTGGTGTTAGGAAAGGTGGTCTTTTAAGTTAGTGACTCCCTTTGTATTTGATTGGTTAAGCCCCTTTGAGGTCAGGGGACTTTGTAGAATAGACCTCCAGCCCATTAGGGGCTTGTCGACAGAGGGGTGTTGTTTAATGGTTAAACTTAGGCCCTGAATTTTCGGGAAGGCTTGACTTTGAGTTGGTGTGTGCTTAAAAAGTTGATGCTTTGCTGAAAATTCTTCCCTTTAGCTGTAAGGAGGAATGGGTTGGAAGATGGGCTAGTTTGATAGTGTCTTTATATGTGAGTAAGGTGGGATTATGGTTTGGGAATTGTCTATTTAGCTCTTGGGGGTCATAATTTTCTGTTAGGAGAGGGTAGATTTTGGGTTGGAATATGTAGCATAGGGGGTCATCCTTTTCTGTTGGGAGGGGTAGATTATAGAGGGAGGTTGTGTAGGTAGCCCCTTTGTATTGGTTAAACTTCTTTGTGTTTGATTGGTTAAGCCCCTTGGGTTGTCATCTCTTGTTATTAGTATAGGGTTGGATTGGTGTATTTGGGTTGTAGGGTATTAGGAGGGTGGGGTTAGGAAGGGTTTGGGAATTGTCTATTTAGCTCTTGGGGGTCTTCATTTTCTGTTAGGAGGGTAGAGTTTGGGGTGGGAATATGTAGCATAGGGGGTCATCCTTTTCTGTTGGGAGGGCTAGATTATAGAGGTTGGTCGTGTAGGTAGCCCCTTTGTATTGGTTAAACTTCTTTGTGTTTGATTGGTTAAGCCCCTTGGGTTGTCATCTCTTGTTATTAGTATAGGGTTGGATTGGTCTATTTGGGTTGTAGGGTGTTTGTTTTGTATTAGGAGGGAGGGGTTAGGAAGGGTTTGGGAATTGTCTATTTAGCTCTTGGGGGTCTTCATTTTCTGTTAGGAGGGTAGAGTTTGGGGTGGGAATATGTAGCATAGGGGGTCATCCTTTTCTGTTGGGAGGGGTAGATTATAGAGGGAGGTTGTGTAGGTAGCCCCTTTGTATTGGTTAAACTTCTTTGTGTTTGATTGGTTAAGCCCCTTGGGTTGTCATCTCTTGTTATTAGTATAGGGTTGGATTGGTCTATTTGGGTTGTAGGTTTCTCGTTTTGTATTAGGAGGGTGAGTTTAGAAAAGGTTGTCTTTTAAGTTAGTGACTCCCTTTGTATTTGATTGGTTAAGCCCCTTTGAGGTCAGGGGACTTTGTAGAATAGACCTCCAGCCCATTAGGGGCTTGTCGACAGAGGGGTGTTGTTTAATGGTTAAACTTAGGCCCTGAATTTTCGGGAAGGCTTGACTTTGAGTTGGTGTGTGCTTAAAAAGTTGATGCTTTGCTGAAAATTCTTCCCTTTAGCTGTAAGGAGGAATGGGTTGGAAGATGGGCTAGTTTGATAGTGTCTTTATATGTGAGTAAGATGGGATTATGGTTTGGGAATTGTCTATTTAGCTCTTGGGGGTCTTTATTTTCTGTTAGGAAGGTAGAGTTTTGGGGTTGGAATATGTAGCATAGTGGGTCATCGTTTTCTGTTGGGAGGGCTAGATTACAGAGGGGGTAGTGTAGGTAGTCCCTTTGTATTGGTTAAACTTCTTTGCATTTGATTGGTTAAGCCCCTTGGGTTGTCATCTCTTGTTATTAGTATAGGGTTGGATTGGTGTATTTGGGTTGTAGGGTGTTTGTTTAGTAATAGGAGGGTGGGGTTAGGAAGGGTTTGGGAATTGTCTATTTAGCTCTCTTGGGGTTGGAATATGTAGCATAGCGGGTCATCCTTTTCTGTTGGGAGGGCTAGATTATAGAGGTTGGTCGTGTAGGTAGCCCCTTTGTATTGGTTAAACTTCTTTGTGTTTGATTGGTTAAGCCCCTTGGGTTGTCATCTCTTGTTATTAGTATAGGGTTGGATTGGTCTATTTGGGTTGTAGGGTGTTTGTTTTGTATTAGGAGGGAGGGGTTAGGAAGGGTTTGGGAATTGTCTATTTAGCTCTTGGGGGTCTTCATTTTCTGTTAGGAAGGTAGAGTTTTGGGTTGGAATATGTAGCATAGGGGGTCATCCTTTTCTATTGGGAGGGGTAGATTATAGAGGGAGGTTGTGTAGGTAGCCCCTTTGTATTGGTTAAACTTCTTTGTGTTTGATTGGTTAAGCCCCTTGGGTTGTCATCTCTTGTTATTAGTATAGGGTTGGAGTTGGTGTAATTAGGTTGTAGGATGTTTGTTTTGTATTATGATGGAGGGTATAAGAAGGGTTTGGGAATTGTCTATTTAGCTCTTGGGGGTCTTCATTTTCTGTTAGGAAGGTAGAGTTTTGGGGTTGGAATATGTAGCATAGGGGGTCATCCTTTTCTGTTGGGAGGGGTAGATTATAGAGGGAGGTTGTGTAGGTAGCCCCTTTGTATTGGTTAAACTTCTTTGTGTTTGATTGGTTAAGCCCCTTGGGTTGTCATATCTTGTAATTAGTATAGGGTTGGAGTTGGCGTATATAGGTTGTAGGATTTTGTTTTGTATTAGTTAGGAAGGGTTTGTCTATTTAGCTCTTGGGGGTCTTCATTTTCAGTTAGGAAGGTAGAGTTTTGGGTGGGAATATGTAGCATGGGGGGTCATCCTTTTCTATTGGGAGGGGTAGATTATAGAGGGAGGTTGTGTAGGTAGCCCCTTTGTATTGGTTAAACTTCTTTGTGTTTGATTGGTTAAGCCCCTTGGATTGTCATCTCTTGTAATTAGTATAGGGTTGGAGTTTGGGTATATAGGTTTTAGGTTTCTCATTTGTATGAGAAGGGTTGGGTTAAGAAAGGTGGTATTTTAAGTTAGTGACTCCCTTTGTATTTGATTGGTTAAGCCCCTTTGAGGTCAGGGGACTTTGTAGAATAGACCTCCAGCCCATTAGGGGCTTGTCGACAGAGGGGTGTTGTTTAATGGTTAAACTTAGGCCCTGAATTTTCGGGAAGGCTTGACTTTGAGTTGGTGTGTGCTTAAAAAGTTGAAGCTTCGCTGAAAATTCTTCCCTTTAGCTGTAAGGGGGAATGGGTTGGAAGATGGGCTAGTTTGATAGTGTCTTTATATGTGAGTAAGATGGGATTATGGTTTGGGAATTGTCTATTTAGCTCTTGGGGGTCATAATTTTCTGTTAGGAGGGTGTAGATATGGGGTTGGAATATGTAGAAGAGGGGGCATCCTTTTCTGTTGGGAGGGGTAGATTATAGAGGGGGGTAGTGTAGGTAGCCCCTTTGTATTGGTTAAACTTCTTTGTGTTTGATTGGTTAAGCCCCTTGGGTTGTCATCTCTTGTTATTAGTATAGGGTTGGATTGGTGTATTTGGGTTGTAGGGTGTTTGTTTAGTAATAGGAGGGTGGGGTTAGGAAGGGTTTGGGAATTGTCTATTTAGCTCTTGGGGGTCTTCATTTTCTGTTAGGAAGGTAGAGTTTTGGGTTGGAATATGTAGCATAGGGGGTCATCCTTTTCTATTGGGAGGGGTATATTATAGAGGGAGGTCGTGTAGGTAGCCCTTTTGTATTGGTTAAACTTCTTTGTGTTTGATTGGTTAAGCCCCTTGGGTTATCATCTTGTTTTCTATTAGTATAGGGTTGGTAGTTTTGTATTGGTTAAACTTCTTTGTGTTTGATTGGTTAAGCCCCTTGGGTTGTCATCTCTTGTTATTAGTATAGGGTTGGATTGGTCTATTTGGGTTGTAGGGTGTTTGTTTTGTATTAGGAGGGTGGGGTTAGGAAGGGTTTGGGAATTGTCTATTTAGCTCTTGGGGGTCTTCATTTTCTGTTAGGAAGGTAGAGTTTTGGGTTGGAATATGTAGCATAGGGGGTCATCCTTTTCTATTGGGAGGGGTAGATTATAGAGGGAGGTTGTGTAGGTAGCCCCTTTGTATTGGTTAAACTTCTTTGTGTTTGATTGGTTAAGCCCCTTGGGTTGTCATCTCTTGTTTTTATTATAGGGTTTGTTTGGTGTATTTTGGGTGTTGGGTGTTTGTTTAGTAATAGGAGGGTGGGGTTAAGAAGGGTTTAGGAATTGTCTATTTAGTTCTTGGGGGTCTTCATTTTCTGTTAGGAAGGTAGGGTTTTGGGTGGGAATATGTAGCATGGGGGGTCATCCTTTTCTGTTGGGAGGGGTAGATTATAGAGGGAGGTTGTGTAGGTAGCCCCTTTGTATTGGTTAAACTTCTTTGTGTTTGATTGGTTAAGCCCCTTGGGTTGTCATCTCTTGTTATTAGTATAGGGTTGGAGTTGGCGTATTTAGGTTGTAGGTTTCTCGTTTTGATTACGCGGGTGGTGTTAGGAAAGGTGGTCTTTTAAGTTAGTGACTCCCTTTGTATTTGATTGGTTAAGCCCCTTTGAGGTCAGGGGACTTTGTAGAATAGACCTCCAGCCCATTAGGGGCTTGTCGCAGAGGGGTGTTGTTTAATGGTTAAACTTAGGCCCTGAATTTTCGGGAAGGCTTGACTTTGAGTTGGTGTGTGCTTAAAAAGTTGATGCTTTGCTGAAAATTCTTCCCTTTAGCTGTAAGGAGGAATGGGTTGGAAGATGGGCTAGTTTGATAGGGTCTTTATATGTGAGTAAGATGGGATTATGGTTTGGGAATTGTCTATTTAGCTCTTGGGGGTCATAATTTTCTGTTAGGAGGATGTAGATTTGGGGTTGGAATATGTAGCATAGGGGGTCATCCTTTTCTGTTGGGAGGGGTAGATTATAGAGGGAGGTTGTGTAGGTAGCCCCTTTGTATTGGTTAAACTTCTTTGTGTTTGATTGGTTAAGCCCCTTGGGTTGTCATCTCTTGTTATTAGTATAGGGTTGGATTGGTCTATTTGGGTTGTAGGGTGTTTGTTTAGTATTAGGAGGGTGGGGTTAGGAAGGGTTTGGGAATTGTCTATTTAGCTCTTGGGGGTCTTTATTTTCTGTTAGGAAGGTAGAGTTTTGGGGTGGGAATATGTAGCATAGGGGGTCATCGTTTTCTGTTGGGTGGGCTAGATCATAGAGGGGGGTTGTGTAAGTAGCCCCTTTGTATTGGTTAAACTTCTTCGCATTTGATTGGTTAAGCCCCTTGGGTTGTTATCTCTTGTTATTAGTATAGGGTTGGGTTGGTCTATTTGGGTTGTAGGGTGTTTGTTTTGTACAGGGAGGATGGGGTTAGGAAGGGTTTGGGAATTGTCTATTTAGCTCTTGGGGGTCTTCATTTTCTGTTAGGAGGGTAGAGTTTGGGGTGGGAATATGTAGCATAGGGGGTCATCCTTTTCTATTGGGAGGGGTAGATTATAGAGGGAGGTTGTGTAGGTAGCCCCTTTGTATTGGTTAAACTTCTTTGTGTTTGATTGGTTAAGCCCCTTGGGTTGTCATCTCTTGTTATTAGTATAGGGTTGGATTGGTCTATTTGGGTTGTAGGGTGTTTGTTTAGTAATACGAGGGTGGGGTAAGGAAGGGTTTGGGTATTGTCTATTTAGCTCTTTTGGGGTTGGAATATGTAGCATAGGGGGTCATCCTTTTCTGTTGGGAGGGGTAGATTATAGAGGGGGGTAGTGTAGGTAGCCCCTTTGTATTGGTTAAACTTCTTTGTGTTTGATTGGTTAAGCCCCTTGGGTTGTCATCTCTTGTTATTAGTATAGGGTTGGAGGGTATATTGGGTTGTAGGATTGTTGTTTTGTATTAGGAGGGTGGGGATAGGAAGGGTTTGGGAATTGTCTATTTAGCTCTTGGGGGTCTTCATTTTCAGTTAGGAAGGTAGAGTTTTGGGTGGGAATATGTAGCATGGGGGGTGGGGTCATCCTTTTCTATTGGGAGGGGTAGATTATAGAGGGAGGTTGTGTAGGTAGCCCCTTTGTATTGGTTAAACTTCTTTGTGTTTGATTGGTTAAGCCCCTTGGGTTGTCATCTCTTGTTATTAGTATAGGGTTGGAGTTTGGTTGTATAGGTTTTAGGTTTCTCGTTTTGTATGAGAAGGGTTGGGTTAGGAAAGGTGGTATTTTAAGTTAGTGACTCCCTTTGTATTTGATTGGTTAAGCCCCTTTGAGGTCAGGGGACTTTGTAGAATAGACCTCCAGCCCATTAGGGGCTTGTCGACAGAGGGGTGTTGTTTAATGGTTAAACTTAGGCCCTGAATTTTCGGGAAGGCTTGACTTTGAGTTGGTGTGTGCTTAAAAAGTTGATGCTTTGCTGAAAATTCTTCCCTTTAGCTGTAAGGAGGAATGGGTTGGAAGATGGGCTAGTTTGATAGGGTCTCAATATGTGAGTAAGATGGGATTATGGTTTGGGATTGGTCTATTTAGCTCTTGGGGGTCATAATTTTCTGTTAGGAGGGTGTAGATATGGGGTTGGAATATGTAGAAGAGGGGGCATCCTTTTCTGTTGGGAGGGGTAGATTATAGAGGGGGGTAGTGTAGGTAGCCCCTTTGTATTGGTTAAACTTCTTTGTGTTTGATTGGTTAAGCCCCTTGGGTTGTCATCTCTTGTTATTAGTATAGGGTTGGATTGGTCTATTTGGGTTGTAGGGTGTTTGTTTTGTATTAGGAGGGAGGGGTTAGGAAGGGTTTGGGAATTGTCTATTTAGCTCTTGGGGGTCTTTATTTTCTGTTAGGAAGGTAGAGTTTTGGGGTGGGAATATGTAGCATAGGGGGTCATCGTTTTCTGTTGGGTGGGCTAGATCATAGAGGGGGGTCGTGTAAGTAGCCCCTTTGTATTGGTTAAACTTCTTTGCATTTGATTGGTTAAGCCCCTTGGGTTATCATCCTTTTATAAATGTAGGGTTGGAGTTGGTGTAATTGGGTTGTAGGATGTTTGTTTTGTATTAGGAGGGTTGGGATAGGAAGGGTTTGGGAATTGTCTATTTAGCTCTTGGGGGTCTTCATTTTCAGTTAGGAAGGTAGAGTTTTGGGTTGGAATATGTAGCATAGGGGGTCATCCTTTTCTATTGGGAGGGGTAGATTATAGAGGGAGGTTGTGTAGGTAGCCCCTTTGTATTGGTTAAACTTCTTTGTGTTTGATTGGTTAAGCCCCTTGGGTTGTCATCTCTTGTAATTAGTATAGGGTTGGAGTTGGCGTATATAGGTTGTAGGATTCTCGTTTTGTATTAGGAGGGTGGGGATAGGAAGGGTTTGGGAATTGTCTATTTAGCTCTTGGGGGTCTTCATTTTCAGT